AATGAGGGAGGCTGGGGCCTAAGGAGATCAAAACCCTATATCAAGGTGTGCATAATTATTAGGCAGCTTCTTTTCCTCAGGTAAAATGGGCCAAAAAAGAGATTTAAGTGACTCTGAAAAGTCAAAAATTGTAAAAAGTCTTTCAGAGGGATGCAGCACTCTTGAAATTGCTTAGATATTTGGGCGTGATCACAGAACCAGCAAACATTTTGATGCAAATAGTCAACAGGGTTGCAAGAAATTTGTTAAGAAAAAAAGACGCAAATTAACTGCCAAAGATTTGAGAAGACTCAAACGTAAAGCTACCTTTACCGCTTATCCTCCGGTGCTGTCATATTCCAGAACTGTAACCTACCTGGAGTGCCCAGAAGTACAAGGTGTTCAGTGCTCAGAGACATGGCCAAAGTAAGGAAGGCTGAAACCTGACCACCACTGAACAAGACACAAGTTGAATCGTCAAGACTGGGCCAAGAAATATCTGAAGAGAGATTTTTCAAAGGTTTTATGGACTGATGGGATGAGAGTGACTCTTGACGGACCAGATGGATGGGCCTGTGGCTGGATCAGTAATGGGCACAGAGCTCCACTTCGAATCAGACACCAGCAAGGTGGAGGCGGGGTACTGGTATGGGCTGGTATTATTAAAGATGAGCTAGCTGGACCTTTTCGAGTTGAAGATGGACTTAAAATCAACTCCCAAACCTACTGCCAGTTTTTAGAAGACACTTTCTTCAAGCTGTGGTACAGGCAAAAGTTTGCATCTTTCAAGAAAACCATGATTCTTATGTAGGACAATGCTCCATTGCATGCAACAAAGTACTCCACTATGTGGCTCGCCAGTAAAGGCCTTAAAAACGAAAGAATAATGACATGGCCTCCTTCTTCACCTGACCTAAACCCTGTTGAGAACTTGTGAGCCCCTCTTAAACGGGAAATTTACAATGAAGGAAGACAGTAAACCTCTCTGAACAGTGTCTGGAACAGTGTCTGGGAGGCTTTGGTTACTGCAACACAAAAAGTTGATCGTCAGCAGATCAAGAAACTGAAAGACTCGATGAATGGAAGGCTTATGACTGTTAATGAAAAGAAGGGTGGCTATATTGGTCACTGATTTTTTTTTTTTAATTTCAACAATTTTTATTTGTAAATTGAGTTGTTTGTTTATCATTCTCACTTTAACAAGTGACAATAAACAAGTGAGATGGAAACATTTTCATTTTTAATTTAGTTGCATAATAATTCTGCACACTAATAGCTGCCCCCAATAATTGTGCACACATAGATATTCTCCTAAGGAAGCCAAAATCTCACTTTTACTCCCTTAAATATTTAGGTTTGAGGTTTATTAACATTTTGGATTGACTGAGAGCACTGCAGTTGTTCAAAAATAAAATTTATCCTCAAAAATACAACTTGCCTAATAATTGTGCACACAGTGTATACAATCATCTGAGAAAAACTCCATTCCTCCACCAAGAACTTGATGAGACTGGCTTTGTTGGCAGGGCTGAAGAGAAGTTTCCTCCACTGCTGAATATTGTGGCCAGAAACAATGTTTCTGAACTGGATCCCCATGTCTGCACCTCTGTTTAGTCTTTCTGAATTTTTGATTGACATGTCCTTGTAGACGTCAAAGACAACATCAATCCTTTCACTATCACCTCCTTCATGCAGGACCTTGGCTAAAGTTGAGTCCAGCCAGCTTCCACCATGTCAGGATTGCCTATTAATGCACCAGATGCGGTTTTGCAGTTGCTATCCTGCAAGTGTGTGAGGACATGCAAACCACCAGACTGCACCTGTCTCAGCAATGGGCTGAAGTGCACAAACCTGTGCAAATTACAAACTTGTGCCAACCAATACAGTGAGGAAGAGCCCCTTGCACACCCGGCAGACTCAGATGTAGAAGAAGATACAGACACTGATGTCGATTACTGATGTTGATTAATAAATGATGACCAAAGGGAGCTATGTTAACAGACCCACTGTGACTCAGTGACAGTAATATGTACTAAGCCAAAACTTGACAGTCATATTTGCTGTCACTGTTCCTTATGGAAAGAATAGGACTTTGAATAGGAATTTGAGTTTTTCTCAGATGATTGTAAAGAGTGTATACATCAGTAGATCTTATTTCTTGCCCTGCACCAGCCAGGATGATTGTTTATTGAGTGCCTGCATTTAAAATATGTCAGTGTCATATTAAGGTTGTGTTATTATAATGCTATTAGTCTGCATTTACTTTACTTCTACCTCTAAGTAAAAAAATATCCTCAATTTAGACCTTGATTTAGACCTGACAATTGGCTAATTGAAGCTTATATATACACACCTGTTTTAGATAAATTACTTGAAATACTACTTAGGGGGTTAATACAAGTCTCTATGGCTAGCCAATAGTTCAAACACACCTAAATGAGAGGTTAAAATGAAAGAAAGCTAATTTTGAAGGAAGGCGATTTTTCGTTTTTTAACAGCTGCACTCTATTACTTTAATGAGTGATAACTACAATTAAGCTACCAGTTACCAAGGTCTATCATATAAAAACTTATTGTAGGGATGTATAGCAATAAAAAAATCACAACTAGAATTTGCCCACCCAGGTGGTACCGATATGTGAAATTTTGGTTCTTGGCTCAAGTACTACCACAGGTGTTCACTGGTTGAAGAGGGGGTTTGGATCTGTGAAAGTCTATGACCATCTCCTTTGCCTTTGAGGTGTTGACGAGGAGGCAGTTGTTGTGACTCCAGTCACTGAAGGCTCTTATCGGATCTCTATTCAGCTTCTTGTCCATTTCTGATACATGCCATGATAGCAGTGTCAGAGTATTTCTGAATGTGGCAGGACTCAGTGCTGTATTTGAAGTCTGATGTATACAGTGTGAATAGGAATGGCACCAGGACTTTCCCTTGTGGAGCCCCTGTACTACTCATTAATGTCCCAGAAACACAGTTCCCCAACCTGATAAACAGAGGAGATAGATTAGAGTAGTCGTAGTCGTAGAGTAGCCTGATAGCATACATTCAAAAGTTACCAGGATGTGATCTGATAAAAGGGGATTTAATGAGCTAACTGACAAGGTTTCAGCTTCACGGCCATAAGCCAGGACAAGATCGAGGGTGTGGATAAAACAGTGTTTAGGTATATCTACACACTGTAAAAACCCAGTTGAGTCTAACAAAGACAAGAAAGCATTGCTTAGGCTGTCATTTTCCACATCCACATGAATATTAAATTCACCTACAACAATGACCTTGTCTGCACTAAGAACTAGATCAGATAGAAACTCTGAGAATTCTGACAAAAATTTAGAGTATGGGATGAGAGGGGGATAAACTATAGCAAATACTGGTGGTCTTATGGTCTTTGAGGCTGGATGTAGAAGACTGAGAACAAGACTTTCAAAGAATTATAATTCAGTTTTGGTCTAGGGTTAATTTGAAGACTGGAATTATAAATAGCTGCAACTCCACTACCTCGGCCAGAATCCTGAGGAGTGTGAAAGTTTAGGGACTTAGTTCTTGTTATTTACTCCTTTGTTAATCAACCAGTCAGAATGAAAGAGTCAAGGACAAGGGAAAGACACAGTCTTGATAATAAAGTGATAGTACCTAGGAAGCTGCTCTAAAGAAAGTGCAGAGGAGCATATAGGACTGCAGCTCTGCTCCCTAGTCTCTATAATAAAGTGGTAGTAGCTAGGAGGCTGCTCTGAAGGGAGTGCAGAGGAACATGTAGGACTGCAGCTCTGCTCCCTGGTCTCTATATTAAAGTGATAGTGGCTAGGAAACTACTCCAAAGGAAGTGCAGAGGAGCATGTTGAACTGCAGCTCTGCTCCCTGATCTCAGCTCTGTATTGTCAGTGAGAAGGACTAATAAAATCAGCCAGATTTCTGAATAAACAGGCCGCACCATTGTGAGTGGGATGAATGCTGTCCCGACTGATCAGACCAGGCTTGCCCCAATTATCAATGAAGCCCACACCGTTTTGCAGACATTCTCAACAACACCAAAGATTATCAACAACACTAATATTTAGGAGGGAAGTCTTTCTTTCTACCTTGATGTACATGTATACTGTAGGATAAGGTTTTTCATCTCCATGTACACAGCAAACAGGGATGGTCTCAATGGGGCTAATAACATTTGGAGTTACAAAATGCCTGTTCATCAGGGTCTGGTCACTACCTGAGTCAATGAGTGCTTTTAGTGTTTTACCATTTATCTCAAGTGAGGTCATTTTAGCATGAGTCAAATTTGACTAATTTCCAATACGCCATGGCACAAAACACATTTGAGTGTGTTTTAGATGTGTTTTGGGGGCACAGTGGTATTGTATGGCCTTCCATTCCACAAAGGTAACAAATTAGATTCTTAGCAGAGGGTTTTGAAGATGTATTAGTTGTCCGATTCTCTCGCCAGGAGGCTTATTCGCAACTGTGGTTGATTTATGCTGGTACTGAGTAGCTGGTTTGTGGCTGTCCCTCCTTTCCATTACCGTGTAGCTCCAGGGCTGCACATTTCTCCATGCAGCCACAAACACACCAGCAAGCTTAACAGCTTCAACAGCGGAACTTGGATCGTTCTTACTTGACGCATTCTCACGTATTGCACCAAGATTATCATTTCACCAATTTCCTGGACTGTTTTACCTTTTGGGTTAATCTACTTCCCATATGACTTCTTCAACCGTGCATACAGCTCCTTCGTGTTTTCATCTCTGGCGATATCTCTCAGGATATATATTGTATTTGTCTAGAATGGCTGCTTTGATTTTATCATAGTCAACAGAATCATCAACATCAATATTAACATATGCACCTCTAGCTTTGCCAGTAAGTAATGGTATGAGGTGAAAAACCCAGTCATCTTTCAGCCAGTGGCAAACTTGAGCAATACGTCCAAAGGTAATCAAAAAATGTTCAATGTCATAATCATTTGAAAGCTTCTCAAGTCTAGGCTCGTAAGAGCGAAACTGACCTGATGTATGCTGAGGCTGAGTTACAGTCTCACTAGTGGGAGCAGCTTGTGAAGTTGCATTAACTTCCAAAGGCTCAGAGTCTGATTGTTCTGGCTCTCTTTGCAGGGATTCAGGGACTTCATGCACTCCCAACTGCAAAAGTTGGAACTGGTGTTGGAGTGCTCTGAAGCACTGTTCTTGCTGGGCATTTTCCTCCTTCTGTCTGGCCTCCTGCTGCCACATGTGGGACCGAAGAGGGAAACCAGGTCTGAGAGTGTTGTTTCCTGACCTTGGCCCTCAGTGCTATCCACCCCTCCAGAAGCTCCATTCTCCTCTTCACCATCCATTTGTGCTTCTGGCACTGTCATTTAGTTTTGAGTGTCTCTTTGTCCTCCATTCCCCTTTTTCCTCCCCTCTGCATGGCATGGTAGTCATCGGCAGTGATAAGAAAAAAATAAAATATTGCTTTTAACTGAATGATCCTACCATTGCCACACACAAAGATGCAAGGCGTCTGAACAAACTGGTGAAAAAAGCTGGCTTCAAAAAGTTGGACTCACGGAGGGTGTGGTGGAGAGATGTACATTGAGAAAGGTGAAGACTTCTCTTAAGAACATGGACTATCCACTTCATGATACCTTCTTACACCTTCTGCTGCTCTCACTTCACCACAGAACAAAAAGATTCAAAAGATCTTTTTGTACCTACAACAATCAGACTCTACAACTTGACCGCAAATAATAGATGACATAAAACCTGAGAAATGAGAACCCAGACAATCGAATTCTTCCTCAGGGATAAATAAAATTCTTATCTATATCTTATCTTATTTCCTGATGGTGCCATTATACAACATGAGGGAAATTATGTGATGAGCACAAAGCCTTAGATCAGTGGTTAAAGGCTGAGCAGTCACCAGTAGAAAGAAAGACAAGAAGAAGTAAAACAGTGCAAAAACTAGCAGGGGTTGTTAAAACAGTCAAGGAGCAAAGTGAAAGAGACATCAACCAGATTTAAGAGAGCGGACATAGAGCAGCCATTGTTGTAGCAGCATACCTCCTCATTTTGCTGGTCCTCTCTCTTTTGTGTTGAGGCAAATTCAATGATTAGCAAATGTGGCAGCCCTCAGAAAGGAGGCAGTTGGAGACTGCTGCCCTGTATCTGTCCTGTCAGGAATCTTGTGTTTTCTTCTTGCAAATTTGAGTCTTGTTTGCTTAGAGCTCTAGAGCTCTAAGAGAGCTCTACACCTTGGTGCGGAGCCTCCTGTCTGCCCGGGCTGGTGGTCCCTGTGACGGCGCCCCCTGCAGCAGCAATGGGCCGGGATGCCTCCCGGTCGACGTGGCCCCCAAAGGTAGCGTCTTCCTCACCTCAGATCTCAGTGCCCAGTCATGTCTCCTCACCATCAGCTGCTAACTGTGTAGATGCGTATGTATGTGAAGTTGTGTGTGTGGAAATGTATGTCTATGTTCACGGGTGTGTGTATGGGTATAATTGTGCGGGTGGGAGGTTTGGGGTTTTCTTGGGGATTTTAATGTTTCATTTTGTTTTTATGCTTTGTAAGGCACTTTGTGTTACAACTTGTAGGAAAAGTGTCATATAAATAAAATAAAGTTGAAGTTGAAGTTATAGGCCAGTACTTTTGAAAACAAAGGTTTCTCCTCTGAAAAATAACCTGTCTACATGTTAACACTGAAACTGTGGCTCACTTAAGCATGCCAGATCAGTTTGTGTCAATAATGTAGACTCAGTCTGTTACATTCATTGTGCCAATGCACACTGAGTATCCTTGTCCTGAGTACAGACTGTAGAACAGACTACACACCAGCCCATAACCCTCCCAGTCAACCAAGTACTGGAAACCTCTGCCCTGTGGTAGGATGTCCAAAATCCTGTAGACTGTAAAGGCAGGGTGATCATCAATGACTCAGGAGGATGGAGGGGTGACAGCGGGGGGGCCTCAGGTTGCAGGAGAAGACAGGCTTCAGGAGGTACACATGAAAAGAGGGATGGACCTTCATAGACTCCAGGGGCCTCATTTATCAACCGTGCGTACGCACAGATGTGTGCTTAAAGAGTGCGTACGAACGTTCCTGCGCAAAGTCTGAAATTTATCAACCTGTACTTGTGCTTAGGAACGTGCGTAAATTTAAGCACAACTCTGACCATGCGTACACACAAAACCTAGTGGTAGGACAGCAAAACTACGAATAGAACCCATTAAAGGAGTCACAGCGTTCCGCAATCTCAAACTCCACACATGTTCTCCGTTGCCTCTATACAAAATTTATCAATTAGTAATTTAGCAGACATTTTGAATGATTGGTGAGACAAGCTATAAAAATCTGCTGTGACAGGACAACCTCACAAGAATTCTTACAAGTACAAATACAAGTATCACGGTTTATTTTGCGCTTTTGGAGGACTTTGAGAAGCGTCTGCTCCTCCGCTGGGAGCGCGTTTTCAAAGAGCGTGCTGATCTGTTCAGTGAGAACTCACGAGTGGATTCTCAGCAGGTACCGCTTCCCCAAAACATTTTAATGGATTTACGCCGTGATTTACTACCCGTGTCGGAGCGAGAAACAAAACGCACCAAAGCCATCCCAGCGCACATCCAGCTCCTGTCCACCCTAACCCGAACATTTCAGCATGAGATTTGAGACATATGCGATATTTCGCAGCCAACCCTAAAGAGAATCATGCCGGCAGAGTTGGAAGTAATAATTTCTCCGGCCTCAATTTACATCCAGTTCCCAAACACACATCAGCAACAAGCCGAAATAAAACGAGGATTTCACGCCATCGCCGGATGGCGAACATAATTGGAGCCATAGATTGCACCCACATCGCAATAAAAGCACCTTCACACAATAAATTCAGATTCGTCAACAGGAAAAGATTTCATTCAATCGATGCACAAATAATCTGCAATGCACATTTGATTCTGTTAAACGTTGTTGCCCGGTGGCCTGGAGGAACGCACGACTCATTCATTCTGCAGAACAGCTCTGTGAGTGTGCACCTCCAGGAGGAGGAAAAACATTCATACACGCATTTTTAAAGGGATTGTTGATGCCATATATGGTCAATTGGAGGCGTTCCTGAATGCAAATGACTCTAACCATGCACGAGCACGGTAGTAAAGAACAGGTGGGATTTATCATCACCGATTACTTACGTGTGTGCGTACGACCGGTGTCCGCACGTTTGATAAATATGGATTTTTTTGTACTTACGCACATTCTAAATTTCATTCCTACGCAAGAATTTAGAACCTTTTCTACGCACGATTGATAAATAAGGCCCCAGGAGCTTTAGTTTAATTGGGGGGGTTAATGATCTTGAGCATAGGTAAGGGACCAATGAAGGCAGACAAGACACAGGTGAAACACATGGATGATCAACAAAGGAGGGAAAATTACAGAAGTCAAACCAGACTAGAAACACAAGGAATCAACTACTACAAAATGAAATAAAAAACACTGAAAACTGATCTAAACAATAAAACACAGAGAACAGGAGGGAAACAGAGTCAAATGCTAACTGAAAACTCATAAGACTGGACTACAGGGGAACAGGAACACTAGAAAAAAATAAACAAAATGCACTCAAATAAAACCAGGAGAAAACTAAATAAACAGAACATATTATGACCCCCCACCCCCCCTTAAGGGACGGATCCCAGGCATCCCAAAAAGTCAAAAAACTAAGGTAGGGTGGGTAGAGGGGGCCTGGAAAGAGAGCATGTGGCCACTAGAGGCAAACAGTTCAGGGGGCCGGCCCTTCATACCAGAAGAATACAGTAGCAGGGATGCCAGCACAGGACACATGGTGGCTGACCTGGTTGCACCAAAATTAAAATGAGCGAAGTCCATGCTCACCATACCAATACTTATAAGGCAATATTAGCACATTTATAAAAGGCTTTATTTACAGCTTTAAGTAATTCAAAGAATTTATAAAACATGGAGCTTGAAACAGCTATCCTTTTTTGTTGAAAATGTCAAAGACTCAGACTAAAGGCTTTTGACAGCTTCATCATTGATTTGATCTGAATGTATTTTTCCATTTTTTTAGCAAGTCCAGGTGTACCTATGGATACTGTAACAGATACACTTAAATATGGTAAAAGGCAAAGGTATGAGTGAATCAGTAACTAACTACATCCACTTTTTTACTAAAGCCACACTAATGTGAAAATGTTGCTCTGTCATCTTGTTATAAAAGTATTAATAGCACATTTTCATACAAGTATCATAGAATTTATAACTCCTTATAACACATTGAATGAGGTCCCAATGAACTGAAGTTATAATCTGTTATAAAAAACAAAATTCAAACACTGTTGCTAGTTTTGCATTAAGTTGTAACACATTATAAAACATATCTTTATAAACATTACTATGAGTTATAATGGAGGTCATTTTCATTGACTGAGGTTTCTGGAACAATTTCTAAAACCCTCTGGCCAGTAACTCACTGGATAACTTGACGACATCAGATGATCAGGGCATGTTTGTGCCAGTTTGACTCCAGTTGGTCATCAAAGAGCTTGTAGAGTGAGACTGTACTTCTGAAATGCTGAGCAGGTTTACAGTGTTGGTGCCCACTGACCCCTCTGGCAGGATCCGATGCTGTGTGATTTCTTTAATGCTGAAAGCTTCATTTTTGTTCTCTATTCACATACAAACATGAAGATACCCCATGCAAGTGCTCATAAAGAGACAACAGTGAAAATAGAAAGAGAGAGCTCTCTCCTGCAGGGGTTAAATATTTTCTCTGAATCATCATTAAACAAGCGAAACAAACATGCAATCTCTGCTGTTCACTCTGTCATCCCAGCTTCTGAGGGTGGAGAAGCTGCTGATGAAGCACCATGTCCCTGCAGGAGCGGGTCTTACTCCAAAGGACCCAGAGGTCATCCTCTGTAAGCTGGCTGTGTTTCACTTTGGGAGACTGAAACTCGCTGATTCAGTTTCATACTGCATCAGAAAAAAAATGAAAACATAAGCAGAGTACTTCCCTGAACTTTGTCAGAAGGGACTCACCTCTTTGGACCTCTGAAGAAAATCCATTAAATTCTGTGGCTTTTTGGGCACTGAGGCTGAAGGTTGTGACAGAATAGTGGAAAGGATCTTTGCTGAAAAGTTAAGAAACCACTCAGGTTTTTTTCTATGTATGTCAGGATTGAACCAACAAATGGTGACACATTTCTCTATCTGAACAGAACCCCAGGAGATTTGACTGTGCCCAGATGCAACAGTGTGGTGAAGTGGACTGAGAAGGCAGTTTTTCAGGACACCCAGCACTGACTAAAAGCTCAATCCATACTTTCAGGCATTTTTCCTTA